TGTATGTTTTCTCTTTACCACTTATGATTTCATGACAATAATTATTTTTATTTTATAATGTTGTTTTATTGTTTTATAAATAAATACCATCTAACTTTTTGTTAAAATACAAAAGTTTCTATCATACAGTTGTTCTGTATTTGGCAATTGTGATCACACACATGCATGCAGGCACGCACCCAACATATTCAAATGCTGCTCATTGAAGAGTATTTCATAGGTTATGGCTGGACAAATCAAAGATCAATAAGGTAACATTAAGGAACAGTCCTAGTTTTATAGTGAAATGTTAATGGTTTACTGTTATTTAAATGTATTCCCAACTGGTAAATGCTTTCAGAGCATTCTTTTTCTGCCTTTTACATAATCAGTGTCTCACAATGAACAGAGTATTCAGCAGTTTGCAGAATCTTGGATATTGGAATTAAAATACACTTCTTTTATTTAACATTAAATAGAATCCTCTCCCTCCACTCTTCCCCCACCCTCCCCAGCCCCAAATAAGTAAAGCTTTTCCAAATCTTTTGCAGTGTGAGCCACTCTCCTCCTGGGAATGAAAAGGATGTGAGAAGGAGAGTCGTTTGATGAATTGCTGGCACTTATGTGCATCCACATTTTTCAATAGACTTTTTTTTAAAACTGGACTTAAGCTGCCTATATTTAAATGCTTCTTTTTTAAAGATGATAAAGAGAGCAAAGATTTCTATTGGATTAGCCCTAATCTGTTTGCTTTGTGGCAATTCTTTTTTTTTTTTTTTTCCTTTCCTTTAACTGTTAACCTATTTATAAATCTAAATCTACATAGAAAGGTCATTGGTTGGCTGAACTTAAACCATTTTACTCAGTAAATTTAATTAAGAAAATACAGTGCAACTCATAAGCAAATGAGTTTTTTCCTAGTTTTAAACCAAACCACCCTCTTGAGTGCTGATTGCCTTGCCCGACCCCTGGTGATACAGAAACAGGCAAAATTAAAAAGGACATTAAAGCTTCATTAAATCTGAAACACATTTAGTACAGTGACATATCTGCAGGCCATTTCAGAGAAGATTACATACTCTCTTTTGTAAGTTTCCTAATTTATAATACCTTGACAATAAAAACTGGGGAAATGCAAGTAGATTAATTGACCAGTAGGGGTAAAAGATACAGAATGGCCCCAGGTTCGTCTGTCTCTGAAATATTCACTTGAAGCATACGTGCTCCCTCTTCCCCATATAGGTTCTCTGTTCATACATTGACTTTTGACAGCCTTATAAAGATCTTGGTCTTCGTGCACTATAACTGCTAAGAGCCCTTTTTAATTTTTTACCTCTTCCTAATAGAACTTGATAAAAAGAGTTCTAAGACCTGCTGTGTATTTCTTTCTGCTTTGCCATAAGACAAATAATATGGAACATAAACACTGTGGCTGCATTAGACTTTGAAGGATAGGGACATACATGAAAAGCAGGTTCCTCTCCCGCGGCCTTAAAGTGATGACTTTTTTGCCTAATAGTGCTGCTGCCTGTTTTCAGTGGTGTAGAATTGGAATCTTTAGCCTTCTGCTGGAGCAGCCCAGTGGTGGCACTCTATGAAACAGGAAGTGATTGTCCTGCTGCTGTTGCAATGCTTACCTACTGGTCAAGGTCAAGGAATCATAATACTTGCAAGATATCTTAGAAGCAGTCCTCCCAGGAACATAGTTGACAGGTAGGAATGAGGTTCCACAGGGTGTCAGGAAAGTATACAGAAAGCAAAGCTAGATCCAAGAATGATGAATTCACCGGTTCGAGTACTGCCACCTGTTCTCAAGCAGGCTGGTACAGAGAGGCTCCCAGCTGACTAGCCTGCACTGAATTTTCTCTCTGTTCTCTTGCATGGCAGTAACTTATAGAGCAAATGAGTGACATCAGCCATCCTTGTTTATCTTGTACAATCATGACAGAGGGAGCCAACTAGATGAGTGTATATTCCTAAGTTGGCTGGAGCATGGCCTCTCCATAGAATGATGACTTGAAAATTGGAGGCTTTGTATTGAAATGGTAGGAGTTCACATTTTTTCCTATACCATTCTTTTTTTTTTTTTAAGCCTTCCATTTATCATTGCTTAGTTCTTTAAACTGCAAGAACCAGTGGCCAGTGTTGGCACCTGCCAGCTAGTTTAGATCTTAATTGTTTGTGTGGTGGACAAGTTTCTTCTGCCTGTAAGTCATGTGGACAGAATTCTCCTTTGGTCCCTAAAGACATATTCAACATGTATCCAAGTGAATGGTGCAATGCCTGTAGAAGGGCTTGAGATAGAATGTTCTAAATGTTTTCTAGTAGTTATTAAGCTGTTAGCTTTTGGCGGGGAGAGACCCTCCTCTTGCAGGTTTTCTAACTCTAAATGGGAGCATATGCAAAACTTATAATTTACAGATCAGTGTGATGATAGGCAACAGCTTTTGATGAGCTGTCATTGCCTGTCAAATCGGTACAGAGTGGCACAAATGCTCAGTCCACCCAACACAGTAGATCACAGTGACTCGTCCTTAGTGTTCACACTCTCATTTCCGAGTGTGCACATTGAGATCAGAAACACTGTATTTTCAAAATATGAGGCAAACCTCCTATAGCCTGCATTGGGTGGGGGCAGGGAATGGGAGAGCTGAGTCCCTCCCCTTCCAGATTAATAACAGTACATAGACAACAAACATAATCACACAAAGCTCTGAAAGGAGGTTTGGTGAAAATCCACACTTTCTTCTTCACCCCAACATGTGATGTTTTGTTATTTATACCTGAAGGTATTATTATACCTGAAGGTATTATTTCATCCATCAAATGAAATAATGATCGTATAACTTTATATCTTGAAAATCCACATACATATCAATGTGTGTCTTGTATACAAGATACAAGTACAAGGTAGTGAAATTTACTAGATATTCCAGAACACACACACACACACACACACACACACACACACACATCCAAATGAGTGTAGGCCCTTTCAAAGTAGTCACCTTACAAGGTTGTATAACATTACTTTTGCTCTAATGGGTTTTGAAAACCTGAGCACCTTCATATCTATCCTTAGTAAGTAACAAAATAATTACGCTTTGTAAGTGACTTTGATTTTTGGTAATATCCGTAGACCATTCAAACCTTAGTTTACAAATAATTTACATGATCAGCAAGCTGAGGGTTATAATTATAAGTCCAAGGTAAGATGCAGTTCCAACAAAATGAAGTGTTCTTCTGTTACTTGAAATGATTCGAAACACAGTTTCAAAGAAGTTCAAAAATGTCAAGCAGCATCAGCGTCTTTGAAATAAGTGCACAACTTTTCAAGATCTAGAAAGGCAATGTAACATGCTAGAAAGAACACTGGATTAAGTCACAACTCTTAGGGTCCGTTCCCAGGCTTCCACTAATTAACTGTGTGGTAACTCGTTTAGTAGGTAGGACTCGGAGATTCTAATCTGTAAAGTGGATTGATGCTTTCTTAGATCCATTCCAGCTTTAAAATTCCCTGATGTTACGATTTTACTTTGAAAGTAGTTAACAAATACATATAAAAGATTTCAGGACTGAGGATGGGCCACATTATAAAGTTGCAAAATTTTGCCACTATTTTCTTTAAATAAGTATTTGACCTTATTACTTTATATCAAGCTGTTTCTGGTTGGAACATTTTGTTTTTACATGTGAGGATCCAAAGATCAAAATTAAGTGACTGGCCCAGAAATACAGAGCAGTTTACAAATCAAGCTAAACTGAAAGCTCTACAGATTTACTTTCCCAATTTCAGACTTAGGCATACAGTTCTGACTTTACAGTCTTGAAATGGCCACTTTCCCACTAGTGGTAGCTCTTTTCTTCTAACTATGGATAGAAAATGGGTGAAAAACTTAACAAATAGATGAAAATAATGGCACAGTTTTCAGTTTCATAATGTGGCCTATTCCCCACTTCCTAAAACCCTTCATTTTTAATTGTAACTGAAAACTCTACAGAGCTGTGGGCTAGAAACAATTAGATGTTGCCATTATACAAGAGGAAAAGCCAACAGTTTTACATCTCTGTCTAGAAGAAACCCGTACACATGTAGAATATACCTAAGAGAAACCGCATAAGGGTAATGGTTTAGTTATTAAAATC